AGAACGATAAAATAGATAGACAGATAGATAGATAGATAGATAGATAGATAGATAGATAGATAGGTAGATAGGTAGATAGGTAGATAGGTAGATTAAATGGTTAAGGGGTTTATATTAATCTAGATGATGGATGGATGGATGGACAAAGACAGACAGATAGATAGAACGACAGAACGATAGATAGATAGATGGATGGATGGATGGATGGATGGATGGATGGATGGACAGATAGAACAACAGAACGATAAAAATGATAGATAGATAGACAGACAGACAGACAGACAGACAGACAGACAGACAGACAGACAGACAGACAGACGGATGGATGGATGGATGGATGGACAGCTAGATAGAAAGATAAAATAATAGAAAGAATGATATAAACAATGGCAGATAAAATGATAGAACTATAGATAGAACGGCAGACAAACAGACAGACAGACAGACAGATAGATAGATAGATAGATAGATAGATAGATAGATAGATAGATAGATAGATAGATAGATAGATAGATTAAATGGTTAAGGGGTTTATATTAATCTAGATGATGGATGGATGGATGGACAAAGACAGACAGATAGATAGAACGACAGAACGATAGATAGATAGATGGATGGATGGATGGACAGATAGAACAACAGAACGATAAAAATGATAGATAGATAGATAGATAGATAGACAGACAGACAGACAGACAGACAGACAGACGGATGGATGGATGGATGGATGGACAGCTAGATAGAAAGATAAAATAATAGAAAGAATGATATAAACAATGGCAGATAAAATGATAGAACTATAGATAGAACGGCAGACAAACAGGGACAGATAGAAAGATAGAACAACAGAACGATAAAAATGATAGATAGATAGACAGACAGACAGACAGACAGACAGACAGACAGACAGACAGATGGATGGATGGACAGCTAGATAGAAAGATAAAATAATAGAAAGAATGATATAAACAATGGCAGATAAAATGATAGAACTATAGATAGAACGGCAGACAAACAGACAGACAGACAGATTTATGGAGAGATAGACAGAATGTCGGAATGATAGATAGAACTATAGAACAACTGATAGACAGAACGTTAATTAATCATTAGTTTTGCGTTTGCTTGGTGCTGGTAGCTGATGCAGAAATCAAACATTTAACCTTTAACAAAGATGCTTTTACATCACTGTCAGCACAGTAAAGCTCCTCTGAAGTAGTTTGTCTGCTCAAGTGATTGACATTTAATATGTTCACATCCTCCACCCTGTCTCATCCCATTTCTGCCCCACGTCGTAAAATATACATAAGCTGTCTTGAGCATTAGCAGCTCTCTCGGGCACACACTTAAACCTGAACGCTATCAGTCACCATGACCTGGCCAGACTAACTCCACATACTCCGGCAGTCTCACTCCATCAAACGGACAATCTCTCTGCCGTCAATCTCCATAAACGGGCCTCTCGCAGACCCGACGGCTTATTGAGCCCACGTTTGGCGCGTCTCCCTGTCGGAGTCGCTCACCTGAGACATCGCTGTCCGTCCAGACGGGCTCGACGGCTGAGGCAATCTCCCGAGTGGACTTTTCCAATTACGATCCCTAGAGGGAACATCTGATGCAAGGTGGCCAGAACAATGGCTCTGTTTGAAAGGCCGGTGAGATGCCTTCAATTGAGTAAGTGCAGCCTTAAATAGGTTTTTTTGATGGAAGGATGCAGGCGACAGACACCGGTCCCCTCCCTTTCCCGAGAAAAACCCCTTCCCATCGGGGCCGGCCCATGGTCGCCCATCCCTCAGCCCCCCTATAATGTAATCTGGAGTGTCTCCCAGAGCAGACAGGGGCAGCACAAACAGTATTAGTGTGTAAATGGAGGAAGCCTAATAAGGAAGCTCTTGGGCCATGAGAGGACACAGACCAGAAATAACTCGGTTCCCAGACGCCCCTGTGCTCATCTTCAATACTCAGCAGAGCTTATTATCCAGCCATATATAAAGATCACTCTAAAACAGGGCCAAACGCAGGAACCGCATGGGGCGGCAGTGACATCAGGCCATTAAAATGTGCATTTGAAAGAGCTTTATTTATTTCACCGGAAATGTTCTACATTCCAACATGGATGTGTTGGCTAATTAGGCTGGTCATTCATTAGTCTCTGTCTGTCTTGTTGCTGTCACTTTTTTCCTTTCTTTGAAATATTTCAAATGACTTCCTCATCCGCACATACTCTCTCTAGTTATATTTTCATCACCTAGAATTCCCACTATAGTTAACGTCCCTTTTCTTCCTGTGCTTTCGTACATTTAGCTTGCACTGACGTTTTAAAGGTTTAAATGTTCTGGGTTTAATAGAAGTAAAAGCAAAAGTATATCCAAAAATGGAAATTATTTACTCACCGTCATCCCGTTCAAAACCCGTATGCAAATAATTCTTTAGAGGAAATGGATGGAACATTTTTGAAAAACTACCAACAGTTCATAGTGACCACATCAAGCTCTAAAAAAATCTGCTTTACAGATATTAATGTCACATTTTTTCCCTTGCAAATATTTTATGCAAAAGTTACAGTTGTATCAGCTATACCAGCCTTATATAGCTGCTGATTCTAGACTTACCTGACGGGAACACTTGTAATATTTACATTCTCTTATACTCCTGAAACATTATTTTAACAACTTGCCACTGTGTACTTCTATTGTAACTGTGTGACTGTAATTGTGATTTTTGTTTTTTTGGAGATCACTAAAGTTCACCCAAAAATAATTTACTCACACTCGTGTCGTTCCAAACCAGGAACCATCTATGACTTTTATTTATATAATCTAATATTATTAATCGTTTTAATTAGCTTTTATTTTTTATATTTTTATTTTAATTTGTAATAGGTTTTAGTAATTTTGCTACATGCTTTTGTCATTTTCATTATTATAATTTTTTTAATTTATATCTATTTCAGTTTTAGTAAATACAGTACTTAAACTTATTTTATTTCAGTTAGTGCAATGCGCCATTCCTAATTTTTGTTTCAGGTTTCTCAGTAAGTTATTCAAAAATTTTTTAGCTTTAGTCAACAATAACAACACTGTTTGCTAACCAACACTGGACCCAACTGATGTTCTATACCCACCATATTAAACCCAGAACACTGACTGATTTCTCCTCTATTCCTTGCAGATTTTCTCGTCAAGACTGTGGACAGCGTGTTTGTGTTCCAGGAGGGGGTGGAGAGCGACACCAATGCGGCTGCTGCGTACGACGCTATAGTGGTAGAACAATGGACAATCGTTGATGTGAGTTACACTCAAACACATGTTTGCATGCTGTCCTTCAGAGTACTATTGTCATATTTAACTGTACACTGTAAAATGATTAATCAGAGTATAAGGTCATTGGAGTATGTTTTACAAGAAAATACTATTTTAACCTTTCTACTTCAGAATTTCTTATTTCAATGCATTACTTGTCGTTTCACTGTAATTACTTGTGAAATTGATTAGAATTGAATCAATTTGCTGAACATTTACTCACCCTCAGGCCATCCAAGATGTAGATGAGTTTGTTTCTTCATCAGATTTGGAGAAATTGCATCACTTGCTCACCAATGGATCCTCTGCAGTGAATGGGTGCCGTCAGAATGAGAGTCCAAACAGCTGATAAAAACATCACAATAATCCACAAGTAATCCACAACACTCCAGTCCAACAATTAACATCTTATGAAGTGAAAAGCTGTGTGTTTGTAAGAAACAATCATTAAGATGTTTTAATTTAAACCGTCGCTTCCGGATAAAATATCAGCAAAAACATTGCTTTCTTCAGTGAAAAAGTTGTCTCGTCTGAATCAGGAAAAGAATATGCACAGATCAAGCACTGTTTACAGGCAAAAACTGTAAATAATAATAATAAGAGTGGATTTCTGGACTTTTTCACTGAAGAAAGTGCATGGAGAGGATCCATTGGTAAGCAAAAGATGCAATGCAAAATTTCTCCAAATCTGTTCAGATGAAGATACAAACTACATCTTCAATGGCCTGAGGGTGAGGAAATGTTCAGTTTTGATTTTTAGGTGAACTATTCCTTTAAATAGTTGCACAAACTTCCAGAAACCACTAAATCAGGCAAAAACTGAAAAAAAAAAAAAAAAAGTAGAAGCGCAGCACGAAATACACCAAAAAAAAAAAGCAGGAAACCCCTCGTTTGAGTGACAGTATGGGTCCTGCTGCTCAGAGAGTCTTAGCCATGCTTGTTGAAATCAGATATTGTGCCAGTTCGCCATTGATTCTTCTAAAGTTAGTCTCGCTTGGGCTTATTTGGGCTAGGTGTGTGTGAGAGGAGCGTGCAAACCGGGTGGCAGCATTGTGTTAGTTAGCACTGTGTACTGATGCTATCAGCGTAATCGAGTTTTGAGCTTTATTTTATAATCCTGCAGCTCTCACTCGCTCTCTGCTGTCCTCTCTCGTTCACTCTCTTCTACTCGGCCATGACGGTGTTTCTGTAGCTGAGGGTAAGGACACTCTGTTTCTGCCCAGCATTATTCAGTGCCGCTCTGCCTGACGGGCTGCATTCAAATCTAAGTCCGCTCCACATCTCCCAGTATTCAACACGATTGTAATTTAAGATTTCATGAATGGTATTCAGTATTAATATTGTGTAAGGGCATGTTGATGTATATGCCAGACATCAGAAGAGATAGATAGATTCATCGGACAGAAGGGTATTCTCACTAATGCAGTAAGACATTTTGAATTGATATGTTCAGCTGCTGTCTGACTCAGGCCCATCAATCACGGTCTCATTTTCTGTCTTCAATGAGCCTGCATGTTTATTTCAAACGTCTCGTGAATCATGTTTCTATAATAGCGTCAGACAATCACTGCACATTAGTCATTCACTCAGTGATGGTATTCTGAGAAATGCTTTTTTTTAATGTAGCGCAACAAATAAAAAATTATGGCATCATTCAATATATTAATTTAGTTATTAAATTTAATTGACTACAATTACAATATTCTACAATTTATTAATTATATATATATATAGTTTAAAAATATATTTTTGCTTTTTTTTTAAATATTATTTCTATGTAACAATGTATAAGGTATGTGTTTATACAAGTTGTTTTTAGTTGCATAATAAATTGTTAGTTAATAAATCCAGTATTGTTTTATGTACTTATTTACTTAATTTCACACAGTATAACGTATGCATAAAAAACAACTAAATTAATGAATACAATCAAAAGGGAATAAATAAATAAATAAATTTAAAAAACAATAAATATTTGATTATATATTTAATATATCATTTATTATTATACCTTTAATTAAATGTTTAATTGCATGCATAAATCTCCAAAGCACTTGTACGGAGTAACTGAGCCATGTTTGTTCAATACGAGTCAAATTGAGCGAGGACTTGTCGTAAAGGTAAATCAATAGGCAGAGTAACCTTGGACATGTAATACAACGAGGGCGCTCTGTCGCTAGAGCTCAGCCCCTGGAACACAACCACACACACACAAAAAAAAACCTTTTCCATTTTAGATTTCCTTGAGGAATTATCCTTGAAGATTTACTCACAGCAACACATATTAGTTTTGATCCACTGAGAAGGAAATTGCCTTAACAGCCTTTTATCACAGTTGCAGTGAGCTCTCTCCGTATATAAGGGTGTGTTATTAAGAGAAGAGCAGCAGACTTCAGAAAGCTGCAGTGCAGTCGCAACACTCGAACGTGTGGATGTCTATAAAGTAAAACAGGTAATGCTGACTTATTAAAATAAGAAATACAGCCACAATTATGAGAAATAAAGGTGCAACTGAAAGATGTTGCACCTAAGATGTTAAAATACAAGAAATAAGTATATTTTAAAATGTATCTGTATAATTAAAAATAATACAAATATAGGCACCTATAAAGTTAAATGTAATGACGAGATAAAGTTTAAAATAAGAAATACAGTCAGAGCTATGAGAAATAAAGGCACAAATGAATGATATCAAGTGAGATTGAAATTACAAGAAATATAGTGCATTTATATGTTAAAGTACAGAAATAAATGATCTACTTTTCCACTTTCCACCTAAATTTACCTTTAAAAAAACACTCACAACTGGACAGTTTCACAAGATTTGGGACCCTTTCTTCTGTTACCTCAAAAGGAATTATATTCCTTAATGCAATGTATTGTAACTTAAAAGTTGTTTTTGAATGTCACTGTACTGTATATTAACAGGCCGGGGACGGGGTGTTACATTTAAGTTTTTAGGTTTTTTTAAGTTTATTATGTGTATATAAGAAAATTAATCCTGGATCTTGTGAATATTGCAAGGCTATTCGATGAATGAATAAAAACTTATTTGACAAAAAAAACCAGATATAAAAAGAGATATAAAAGTACGGTGACGCATTGCTGCCACACACATATTTTTTCCCACTCAATTATGTTGTAATAACGAGATGTTATATCATTAAACGACATCTTTTCTCGTAAAAACTAGATGTTTTCTCATTAAACGACTGAATAAAAACTTATTTGACAAAAAAAACAGATATAAAAAGAGATATAAAAGTACGGTGACGCATTGCTGCCAAACACATTTTTCCCCACTCAATTATGTCGTAATAACGAGATGTTATATCGTTAAACGACATCTTTTCTCGTAAAAACTAGATGTTTTCTCATTAAAACGACATCTTTTCTCGTGATAATGAGATGTTTTCTTGTTAAAACAATATCTTTTCTTGTAATAACGAGATGTTTTCTTGTTAAAACGAGATACTTGTCTCAAAAAAACGACATCTTTTCTCGTTAAATGAAATTTTTTCTCGTAATAATGACATGTCATAAAAACGATGTTTTCCCGTTATTATAGATATATGGTATATGTGAGCAAGCTAAGCGACTGTCCGCGCTGCTGTCGCCACAGTCTGACATAAACGAGGATCTGCACGCTGCTGAAATTATTGAAATACACCGTTTTAAATGTATTTTAATGTAATGGTTTTAATTATAGTGGCATGTTTATTAGGATTAATCTCCAGTCTGTCTACAATATAGTGCTATCCAATAACTGCACTCTACCCATGACTCGTTTAGGCTATGATCAGATCAAAACGGTTATATTTAAATTAAAATTTTAAAAGATGTCGTTTTAATGAGAAAACATCTCGTTATTACGAGAAAAGATGTCGTTCTAACGAGAAAAGATCTCATTATTACAAGAAAAGATGTCGTTCTAACGAGAAAAGATCTCATTATTACAAGAAAAGATGTCGTTCTAACGAGAAAAGATCTCATTATTACAAGAAAAGATGTCGTTCTAACGAGAAAAGATCTCATTATTACAAGAAAAGATGTCGTTTTAACGAGATAATTATATCGTTTTTACGACATAACATCTCGTTATTACGAGAAAAGATGTTGTTTTAACAAGAAAACATTTCGTTATTACGAGAAAAGATGTAGTTTTAATGAGAAAAGATGTCGTTCTAACGAGAAAAGATCTCATTATTACAAGAAAAGATGTCGTTCTAACGAGAAAAGATGTCGTT